TCCTCCTTTCTTATTTTTCCAAGAATTTTATTATGAATTCCACGACATTTGCAACAAACACATGAAACAATATAAAGTGCAATATAATGTACAGCCAGTGAAGATCAAGGCTAAAGCCCCTGTAACTTGTACCTAGGTGAGGAAATGGAACATCACCAGCATCCCTGAGCCCGTGGCCAACGGCCATTCTGAAAACTTTTCAGAATCCAATATGTCTTTTATTAATAATGTTTCATATAGTTTCATTATATTGTAGGAGCTTGACACATTTACCCTGTAGAAATATTTTATGATTTATATCATATGCACTCTGTGATTCCAACTGGTCATGTTTGATGCCTTTTTTCTGCAATTCTGGGGCATTTCCCCATCTCCTATACCTTCAGCTTTTTAGAAACTTGTATTCCTCGATGTGGAGGTAGAAACCTCAGCTTCTGATCTTAAGACACAGGTCTGGAGAATGTTCCCTCCTCTTTGTGTACTGTCCAGCCTATGATAAGGGGTGTAACGGGCAAGGCATGTTGAGGAAGACTGGTTAGATATCTTTTATGATTTTTCAGTGCATGATGGCTCTGAGGTGGAATTTCTGTGCTCTGTGTCTGTGGATTCAATACTGATCTAGATTTTAAGTCTTTCTAGGATTTCATGGTCTTTATTTCTCTTTGACTCAGTGGATTACAATGATACTAATTTTCTGCTGCATTGATTTGTCATATTTTTGACCTGAATACAACAAGGAAAAAGAGAGAAATAAAGGGTATATTTTATCCTGTCCTTATCACAACAGCTGAAATTACCACACAAAACAAGACAGCAACATTTTCACAGGCAGATGTAATGTGAAGGATGGCGATCAGGGATGACTGTGTTTTACCCGGGAAAGGCCACTCTCTTTAAATTAGCTCTGGTGGAGTCACGGAAAGAACATGGGTTTTGGAAACACGGCTCACATTTTATCTGTGGCTTGGTCATGTGATGGCTGTGAGACCTCAACAAAGCCTTGGTTTCCACATTTAAAAGAAAAAGTCCTAGTTCTCGTTTTAAGAAAATTAAATAAACCTCAATGCATAGTATGTTAAATACAGTTGGTTACCTTTGTGCCTGGGATCCCCTTTCTGACTCTCTTACCTGGTCAGTCCATCCTTTCTGCACAGCCAGCTGTACTCACTTCTGTATGAGTGATGCTCACATCTGTACCTTTGGCCCTGACCTCTCTTGGAAATGGGGGCATCTGGTCTCCAAATGCAGAGCAGGACTTGAGAGGAAACTGTGAGCAGAGCCCTGCAGCTGTGGGAAATGAGCAGGAGCAGATGCACAGGGGCACCCAAGCCCAGAAGCTGCTTTCAGAAGCCAGGGAGAGGAGAAGCACCACGCTTGTGTAACAAGAGCTGCTGAGCACTCAGAGTGTGCATCAGGGTGAAATAATCTATACTTTTTTTTTTTTTTTTTTTGGTTTTTCTCCGGTACCGGGAACTGAACTCACGACCTTGTGCATGCCAGGCAGGCGCTTTTGCCGCTGAGCTAAATCCCCAGCCCCTAATCTATACTTTTTATATACAAAGACAGCACAATCTAAATACGTGCTCTATTTTGATTTAAAGATAACTTAGTATGAAATACAAAATCCATGGTCATTTTAGATGATATAAAAAAACCTGCTTTTGGAAAAAGTACTGCACATTTTCTTGTATTTTTTTTTTTAAATAAAAGGAGGAAAACATTAACAGACAGACAGCCTTTTACAAAATAGCAAAAGAACAGTACAGACAGTACAGAGTTACAAACAAAGTGGTAGGAAATTAACAACACTTGTATTACATATTGATATCTTCAAAGTGGTTTCTCATGAAAACAGATAGAGACATGTAATATTGATCAATCAAGGACTCACTTGACAGTTTCTTTCAGCAAAGAAATAGAAGACAGTAGAACAACTATGTTAGCTATCCTGTATATACATACATACAAAATTTCTCCTTCTTTCCCCACATCCCAGTTGCCCTTTACCCTTGAGTGTGTTGCACATTTTCTTTTGGTCTTAACAACAGCGATGCATTTCCTGCTATATAAATTTTTAGGACAGGAGGTGTCACAAGACGATGACTACAGACTCAGGTGAGGTCCCCACCTTCTACCTGATGCATTGCAAAGGCTAAGCCCTGTGTACAGTTAAGGAATATTCACTCTGAATGCAAAGAAAAGGTGAAAGTTGGTTAAATTATAAGCTTTAATTCTGACGTTCTTTGTGTTTATTAATGGCAATGGTAAAGCATGCTCTTAATAGTCACATGTTGAATCAACGAACACGGGTCATGGGACTCAGAGTCAGTCTGCCCACCAGGGTGTAACTAAGAACAATGGCTGCAGATGTGCAGGGATGGAGGGAGCAAACACCATCATGAGGAAGAGCGATGAGGTACAGAAATCGCACAAGGTGGTCCCACAGGCGCCTCTGCAGCAGTTAGGAGAGTGCCATTTTCATTTTTTTCTTGCCTGCATTAAATGACGATGAATTTCTTTACTAACTGATTGATCACCAAAACCTTCAATCAAAAGCAATGGCAGACATAACTCAGTGCGTATTTTTAAAAGAAAATGACATTTGACTTTATTTATGATGAGGAGGGGAAGGGAGCTTGGTTGATGAGAGAAGTGCATTGGATGAAAGAGCAGCGCTACAGAAACGTTTCAGAGCAGTGACGTGGCAGTCACATCCTCTTGGGCAGCTGGGGTCTAGCTTAGGGCCAGCCTCCAGGACTAAAGAAACAGAAAAATCCTTGTTCCAAGGCTCATCTAGTCTTCGTGGTCAGATCGGGAACCCTGTAGGGGTAAAGAAAAAATTATTCCAGGTTGCTGACCCCTCTTCCCCTAAGACTCAGGACAGAAAGTGATGGTCGTATGAGATAAAACTCAGCCTGATTTAAAAAATACTACTGATCTCACCTTTCTTTCTCAGTGAGATAAAGCAAGGTTCTTTCCCCACATTCATCCAAGGGCTGAGGTTGAAAGGTTAAGTCAACGACTGAAACCCTTTTCCCTGTAGTATCACAATGCAAAGAGAGCATTCACATTCTTCTGCAGCCCCTCCCCTGCAGAGAAGCAAAGCAATAACATTACCTGTTTATCGAGATCCACGTTGACCTGAAATGGAAGGAGAAAAGGGAGTGTATTCAGCCACTGAATCCACCTTAGATGCTGAGAGAAACTGTCCCACCCCACTTTCCATGGTCCCCACGAGTCTGAGTAACTGGAAACCTGGTGCCCCTGGTGGGTTTACACCCCAGCCTGGGGATCCTTCTCTCCCTCATCTTTGCCTGACAGTTTTATTTCAGTGGCTTCTAGAATTTTGTGGCATCACTTTTCTGTCTCCTCCCTTACCACTGAGAGGGGTAAATCATGGAAGAGACGAGCTTCCTAGGAACCTTGCAGCTGTTCCTACCTTTCTTGCTCCTTATGTGCATGAAGATGCCAACTGCGAGGAAGATGAGCCCCAGCACGAAGCCCCCGACTCCCGTCAGCTTCTTGTTCCGGGCCGAATCAGACTGAGCCTCTGAGACAAACAGAACCCAGTGTTAGTTTCGCCTCCCCTGGGAACATCCCAGTCCATGTCCTGCCTGAGATCCTGGAGCCTGGAGTGGAACATGAGCAGGAGGCGGTGAGAATGAGACTCATTAAGTCCCGAGTTCCAGGCTTAACGCTGGTGACTTCACCTAGAGGACAAATGGTGATTCTACCAGCTGCCTCGCAATACAGGCAGAACAGCCTGAAAGGCCGACAGAAAAGAACGGTTCCTGTGTGTGAGGCTGGTTCAGGAGACCCCAGATTTCCTGATCACTGAACCCTCATCATCCTCTAGGTCAGGGGTGGGGGTTTCTATTTCCTGAAGCTCAGTACTGCCCTCAGGGGCTTGCATAGAAAACACAGTGTGCAGCTATGGCCCAGTGTGCAGACAAGAAGAGCGGACCCTGGAGCCGCTGTGCTCCCTGCTTTTCAGACTGTGGCCTCTGGAAGGTCCCTGAAGGTGGGAAACTTACTCCACTCCACAGTGACAGGGCTGTCCAGGCTGGGGTGCTCCACGTGGCAGGTGTAGACGTCTCCCTGCTGGGGGGTCATTTCCAGCATCACTAGGATCTGGAAGGTCCAGTCCCCGTTACGGATCAGGTTGGTGGACACGATCCCAGCTGTTTCCTCCTGTCCATTCAGGAACCACCGGACCTCAATGTTGCCCGGGTAGAAGTCTGTCACGTGGCAGATGAGCTGGTCGTGGTGCTGCAGGGTCCCCTTCTTGGAAGGGGACACGTGTACTTTAGGCTGGACTAGGGTGGGAGAGGATAAAAGGAATGACATCAGAGATTATTATTTCCCAGACACCTTCACTAAAGAAGTGTTTTCTAGATGCTACAGGTACAAATGTCATAAGGGGAGACATTGTGACATTTGGGAAGAAGATACTGGGTGTACTACAATGATGGAAACTGACCCTCCAGTGGAATATGCAGAATCATTAATTACATAATGAACTGAAAAGATTTGGAGCAAGACAAAAGCAGTACTTTGTTATATTTTTAACAGAAGTTGTAATTATAAGCCATTGATTACCCTAATAGTCTTTTGAAAAAGAGTATTTCCCAAGTTGTCAAACTATCTATTTTTTCAATGCTCTGTCTTTAGGAAAGGGAAGCAAAATTGCATGAATGATGTAAAGTTAAGATATATGGAAAATGCTATTCTCTTGGTCTACCACTTTAGATCACAAACATTAAAATACATGCCACAAGTGTGACAATGATTTATTTTGCAGGTAGCCTACATATTTTATGGCTGCTCCTACTCTAAAACCACAATCTTTATGTTTACAGGAAAACCCTCATTCTCAGAAGATGAGACCCACCCCAGAAACCAGTTCTAGCATAATTTTAGAAAAGACTAGAACTTACTGGGGGTAGGTTAGGGTTATTTTCAGGGAATCAGTGTACACTGAAACCTAATATCTCAAGTCCCATCTGCTTGATTTTAGGCATTCCAGTCTATTGCAGTTTTTCCTCTGCGGTGTCTTTCTTGGTCGCTTGAGAGAACCCATCTGCAGGTGCTGTCTGCACCTCTCCAGCTCTCTGTCTGATGCTCTGTGCTCTCCTCAGCTTCTTCTTTCAGGTCACTCTTGCCTGATGGTCATCTGTCAGTTTCCATGCTGCATGTGACTGAGCAGCCCTAGCGACAGTGAGTATCCTGGACCTTGACCGCCAGGACTTTCATTCCCTCCCGAGACCAGAAAAGAGCCATTTGCCTCAAGAGGAAGTGTATTCAGTAGATATGTCCCCTTTAGAGCTTCTAGTGCTTAATATCCCAATTCCTTTCAAATTTGCTTCCCAGAGAACACAGATACCCTGAAGTGGGACAGGTAGAAGGATGTTTCTGAACTGTATCTGGATCTACTGTTTTCTTTAGCAGCTTGGTTTTGTGCCGAGATGTGTCCACACCGCCAACCTTCTTCCACTCCACATGATTTACATTTAGCTACAGCTTTTATTTAACCACTTTGATAAACTCGCAGTTCACCTGCCAGTTCCACTTTGGTCTGAGTTGTAATTTGTAAATTAATTTAAATGGCTCTTCTCTGTGGACTCCTGGTCTCATGCAAGTCAGAAGCTATAGTGGCTTGTCTGTTTTAAAGCCCACCACATTCTGTAAGGAACTTTGCCTGGAGTATACATCTGACCTCTAGCTGGCACTGGCACTAGATCTACAGCTTCAGTGGTGTGTATTCTCACACTCAGTAAAACACATTGCACAAATGGAAAAGAGTTTTGTGTGTTCTACAACTGCCTGTTAAATGCCCATGAATCATCTGCTCAGTTACCTCTAGAATTTTGTTGTATATTTACATTAGAAATTCCATAGCTTTCATTTTTCTCCTCAATTCATGCTATAATTGCTATTCCTCAGACAACAGTAAGTTTTTCTTATTCTATCTCTCTGAATCCAGTCCCTCCTCTTTCTAACCCATTTAATATTCTGAAAACATAACTCTGACTTTGTCATTTCCTGTTTTAAAAAAACTCGGCTTCTTATAATGCTGGTCTGGTTAAATGGGAAGCCTGGAAGAGCTAATTACAACACAGACAGATAAATCTTTAGTCAAAGTTACCAAGAAACTGGGGGAGGCAGTGGAGAAGAAAACCATATCAATGCAGTTATAAATTAAAGAGGTGAAATTACAGCCAACCCTGTGGAAATTCAGAGGATTATAAGAAACTACTTCAAAATTTTATATTCCAGTCAGTTAGAGAACTTAGAAGAAGTGGAGAAATTCTTAGATACACATGAATGACCAGATTGAGCTAAGGAGATATAAAAACTGTGAATGGACCAATAGCAGCAATGAAGGAGAGGCAGTGTGAAAAACTCTACCAACATTTAGAAGCCCAGGGGTCAATGAACCCAATGGCTAAAAATACCAGAATTTCAGAAAAGATCTAAAGCCAATATCCACACACTTTTTTTTTTTTTTATAGAGACTAAAAAAACCCCAAAATAACAATATAGACAAAAACAAAACAAAGCAAAAACAGTAAAAATGATACAGTTTCAAAACAGAATGATAGGAATTAACAGTGGTTGTTATATTACATACTGTTATCTTCAATGAAGTTGCTCAGATTATCAGATATAAGAATGCAAGATTGATCAAACCATTAAAGGAATAAAAAATAAAAAAAATAACATTATAAACAGTTCAGGGTTCCACTACACAAGATGGTAGGAATTCACCAATGGTTGTTATATTGCATATTGTTGTCTTCAAATTAGTTGTTCAGATTACCAGATATAAGTGTACAAAATTGGTCAAAAAACTTAAGCATTAACTGTTCTGCTCTTAAGTAAAGTGTAAAGAGAAGGACGACTGTTAAACTCATCCCTGGAAGCTAGCATCACCCTGATAACAGAACTGGATGTGGACTTAACAAAAACAGAAAACTCGGGGCCAACCTCCTTAATGAGCATAGCTACAAAATATCTTACCAGATATTTGCAAATAGAGTGCAACAAACTATTAAAAAGATCATACATCATCAGTTGGCTTCACTCAGGAATGCAAGGTTCATTGAACATATGTAAATCAAAAAAATAAGTAAGTCACATAAACAAACAAGGATAAAAGCTAAATATTCGTATCAACAGATGGGAAAAAACCTTTGACAAAATCCAACATCCAGTCATGATAATACTGAAAATAGGTATAGGGGGAAGAACTCTATCTTAAACTGATAAGGCCATTTATGACAAACTCACTGACAACATCATCAAATAGAGAAAAACAGAAAGCTTTTCCTCTAAAATCAAATTCATAACAAGAATGTCCACTATCACTTAAAACTTTAGCCAGAAGAGCCAGGCAAGAGAAAAAAGTGAAAGGGATACCCTCAGGGTAGGAGGAATTCAAATGTCCCTCTTCCCAGGACTCAGTGCTCTGTGCTCTTCCCCTGGCTCTGTCTCCTCAGCTGACCTCGTCCTGCTCAGGTCCTGCTCCCTCCAGCCCACCTGCCCTGCCCAGGAGACAATCCATGGTCCCTCTGTCTGGCTCTACTGTCTCCCCATGCGTGTTTCTTCTCCCAATGTGCTGAGAGGCACTGCCTGCTCATTCACAGATGACCTGATCCTTGAAAGACTCAAAAAATTGAACCAAAAGTTTCTGAGAAATAATAAACAAACTCAGCAAAGTAGCAGGACACAAAACAAATACACGAAAATCAATACCTCTCCTGTATACCAACAATGAACACAATAAGAAAGAAACTGGGTAAATCATCTCATCTATGATAGCTTCAAAAATTAAATACATACAAGTTAACTGAACCAAAGATGTGAAAGAGCTCTAAATCAAAACTACATTATTTAGGAAAAGGTGATGAAAGAAGATCTCTGAAAAGGCGTCCTCTGTTCCTCGATAGGCAGAACCAATATTGTAAAAACGGCCGTATTATCAAATATGACACCTAGATTTAACGTAATCTCAATCAAAATACTAATGACATTCTTCAAAGAACTAGAAAAAAATCCTAAAATTTATATGGAATCAGGTGAGACAGCCAATCAGGTAAATCAGAATAGCCAAAGCAATCCTGGGCAACATGAGCAAAGCAGGAAGCATCACAATCCCGGATTTCAAATTATATTACCAATCTACAGCCATAAAAATGGATGATACTGGCCCCAGAACAGAATGTGGATCAATAAAACAGAACAGAGGATGAAGAAACAACCCAGGCACATTCAGCCATCTGACCTTTTACAAAGGGGCCCAAAACATATGAAGCAGACAAAATGGACTCTCTAGCAAATGATACTGGGAAAACTGGGCATCCACATGCAGAAGAATGAATTTAGATCTGAATCTTTCACTCTGTAGTGAGATCAAATCAAAATAGATCAAAGACCTAGCTATTAAAGCAGAAGCCCTGACTCTGCTGGCAGACAGAGTGGGTTAAACTCTTGAAGACACGAGCACGGGCAAGAACTTTCTGCACAGAATCCCCGTTCTACAAGAAATAGCACAAGCAACAACTAATGATATTATATAAAATTAAAAACCTTCTGCACAGCAAAGGAAACATCCAATAAGTGAAGAAACAATGTACAGAATGGGAAAAACATTTGCCAGCTACTCATTAGATGACTAAATCCCAAAATATATAAAGAAATATAAAAAATTAGCCTCAGTAAATAAAAGAGCCCTCCAAAATTGGAAATGGAAGTAAAGAGACACTTCTCAAAAGGAGCCCTTCTCCACTGCTGGTGGAACATAAACTGGTACAACCACTATGTAAATCAGTATAGAGACTTCCTCAAAAACCTAAACAGAGAAATTCTATTTGACCCAGCCATACGTATTCTGGGTATCTTCCTAAAAGGAATTAAAGACACCCTATTACAGTGATACCTGGGTATCCATTGCTATAGCAGCACAACTCACAATATCTACATCTTGGAAATGGGCCTATATGTCCAGTAACAAATGAATGCATAAAGAAAAAGTGTACACAATGGAGTATTACTCAGCCACGAAGAATAAATTTTGTCATTGGTGGGAAAATGGATGCATCGTGAGTCCCTAATGTTAAATGAAACAAATGAGACCCAGAAGGTAAGTATCACATCCTTTCTCTCATATGAAAAACCTAAAGTATAAACAAGTTTAAAAAGCAGAATAAAAAAAAAAAAGGTGATAGATAGGAAGGTGACCCAAGGATAGAGGGGGAGGGGAGAGAGGGGAAGGGAAGGAGAGAGAAAAAGGATTAAAATGCAGTAAGTTCGGGTACCAACTCCCCGTAATGCATGTATTCATTGTGTATCACAAACAAGCACCAATAAAATCTTTTTTCCTTTTCTTTTTTTTTTTTTTTTTTTTTTTTTTTGAGACAGGGTCTCGCTGTGCAGTTCAGGCTGGCCTAGAGCTCCCTTTGCAGTCCAGGCCGGTCTCGAACTCGCAAGGATCCTCCCGCCTCAGCCTCCCGTGCACCACCACGGTAGGCTAAACTTTTTTTTTTAAAGATGAAAAAAAAAATGCCAGGTACATGTATGTTCCTACACACTATTGGGCCCCGCGACGGCTGCCAATCCTCTGTCTTGCTTTGGGCACGTTTTCACCTAATTACTGCGGCAACTTCCTAAGCTCAAGTTACCTCACACAGTGATGGGGAGCCGCAGATGAACCCCAAGTCAACCTCAAAACCTATGCTCTGAGCTCAGCCTTCAGGGACCGCTCCCAGCCCAGGGACCAGCTCCTTCCTGACCCTGACTCGACCCGACCCGTCTGCAGACGACCTGCACCAGGGTCCAGGCGCGGCCCACGGCTCCCGTCCTCGCCCCGCCCTCCCCACCCCCTCCTCCGCGCGCGCCCGCTCCGGCTCCCCGGCTTCCTCTCCCGCCGCGCCTCCTCAGGTGCCCGCGTCCTGTTTCCTCCGCGAGACCCCGCCGCCCTCCTCTCTCCTACCTCTCCTCTTCCCCTCCCCTCCCCTTCCCCGCGTCCCTGCCCCCCGGCCCGGTCCCAGGGTTTCTCCGTCCGGCGCCCGCGCAGCCCGCACCCCGGACCCGCCCACCCGAGCCCCAGCCCGGCGCCCCGCGTCCTCCCGCAGCCCCGAGGTCGCGCTGTCCCCGCCCGAGACCCCGCGGCCTCACCTCTGCGCTGCACTGTCAGGGGGGCCGTGATCTCGTAGTTGTGTCTGCACACCGTGTCCACCACAGCGCGCTTCTGCTCCAGGATGTCCTTCTGGCTGTTCCAGTGGTCGGCGTCCGGCCGCCCCAGCTCGGTCACCGCGCGGAACTCGCCCACGTCGCTGTCGAAGCGCGCGTACTCCTCGCGGTTGTAGATGTATCTCTCCACGAAGCGCTGCGTGCCGTTGCGCGCGTAGCAGTTCTGCCGCCCTTGGTACAGGAAATTCTCTGCGGGGAGCAGGCGCGGCGCTGACCCGGTGCCCGGGAGTCCAGAACCCAGTGACCCCGGACATACCAGGGACAGAGCACTGAGCCCGACCTCTCCCCGGCCCCTGCGGCCACTTCACAGCGCCTGGACCTAGCGGGTGGGCAGCCAGCTTGGTGCTCCTGGACCCTGCGCATCCCTGACCACGGCTAACAACTGTCCCACCAGATCCTTCCCGCTCAGGGCCGAATCTGGAACTACCGAGTCCTGCCGTCCTGGACTGTCACCGACCCTTTCCTTTCCTCCCCACACCGCTTTCTTTTTCTTGGAGACGGGGTCTCACTAAGTCTCTGAGTTGCTAAATTAGGTGCCTGGGTGTACTCCAGCTTGCAGTTCTCCTTCATCAGCCTCCCAGAGTACCCGGATTACAGGCGCACACCACGGAACCTTTCTAGGCCTGGTTTTCTCATCCTGACCGGGAGGGTTTACTGAACACGCGACTCCCTGCTGGGGAGGGACTCAGTGGCTTTGGAAAAGGGAGGGCACGCTGGGGTCAGCGATTGTGCTGGCACTGGGGGAGCCAGAGCTACTTCCCGCGGGGTCCCGGGGAGGAGCAGGGCCTCCCCGTCCCTGGGCAGAGAAGCTGCAGGGGCAGCAGGAACTGGGATGTACAGCGAACCTGTCTTCTCTATCAGGGTTCCCACCTGACCCCCTGGGCGACACTCAGCCCCAGTGTCACCTCCTCCAGAAGCCTTCCCTTGTCTCTTTCTCTGCTCCACTGCAGAACGCCCTCTTCCGTGTCAGTGTCTTGAATGCACCCTGTTTACTCCTTGTTTTGTAGACTGGGGATGTACACACAGATGTCCTACAACTTTCTGAAAGTTAATGTGAAGAAAGGCTGCCCAGCCTGAAGGAGAAGGCAGCTTTCACACTTTTGGAGCATGGCCACAGAAAGACTGGATCTCAGAAGGTGCGGAATGTATTTAATCAGTGAAGTCCACACAAGCAGAGACCTGCAGCGGGGACTTCCCCGCTGTGGACCTAGCGGCACTGATGCGGAATTTCCACATGGGGAAGTGCGGCGGCCTTCCCCACATGCTGCTCTTTCTGTTCAGGGCTGTGGTGTTTGTCAAGTGCGAAAGTCACAGTGGGCTCTTGCTTTTGTGTGCTTCTACAGGATCCCTGGGCCTGCTCTGCTCCTGACCACGCTGGAAATTAAGGCGGTTTCTGTGGGTATGAACTCCATCCGCACAGGCGAACATCTCGACACATACTGTCTTGACTTTATACCCAACATCTAAGAGCTCTCAGTATTTCCTCGTCAGTGAGGTAAAACAAACAAGCCATTAGAGGGCGCTCTAAGCAAGTTTATGAAGTAGGTTTTTAAACAGCAAGCTCTGTCACTTCATTGGAAAAGATACCAGAAGTTTAAACGCCAAGTCCGATCAATCACACGGGTTCCGGGACCACTCTGAGTGTGCAAGCGTGGAGGGATGAAGTGCGCTTTACAGAGGCCGCTCGCCCGATTTTCACTGCGCCTGGCTTTTCCTAGCGATTTCACTTGGGGATACAATGCCAGAAGAGTGATTCACAAGGAAAGACTCCAATGCACCCCAAGCTTCTACACGAGGCCAGGTGAGGTGACAGGGCCTGGGATGTGGCCTGAACGCCTGGCAGCGGGTGTGAGGGGAGGGAGACCCCGCCTTAGAAAGCGCACATTCAGTCAGCCAGCGTCAAAAGCTTGTCGCCCCCCTGATTCTGGTTTCTCGGAGCCCATCTGCTGAGCTGCTTCTTTCTAGGGCGGTGGGCGGTGTCTTATCCCCCAGCCCACAGCAGGGAGCGCAGCCATTTCCCCCGCTCTCTGCTGCCTTTTCTGTCTGAAGTTGGAAATCTGTACGGAGTGAAAAGTGTGAGGGGGGGTGTGGTCCGCCGCGCCCCCTCACCCTACATTCCCTGTTGCTCTGGAAGTGCTTGCTGAGCATTTGCTCTGGGTAGGAACTTACCTTCCATGCTGCTCACAAACCCACACGTCTTCATCCCGATCCTACAGATGTCCATCCACCCGCGTCCCTCCACCACTCCCCTCCCACCGTCCCTTGCCCCTCTGCACTCTGTCTGCTCCACCCTGGTGGTCTCCTTGACCACTCCCACTGCCCATTACCCACGGAACGCTGGGACACTGGCGCTGCCCCACCTCCCCTGCTGGCCTTCACTCAGTGTCCTCCACACTCCTCCGGGCCCTTCCCCAGCTGCCTCCCCCTCCAATTCACAAGATGTGAAGGCACAGTTCCCACTGAGCGGTCCTGCTGCCCGGGGCTCGGTGCCCTCTGTCACCCACAAGGGCAGGTGCTCCCCGCCCTCCCAGCAGGTGGACCTGAGGCAGCAGCAGAGGCCCTGGGGTTTGAGGAGCGGGACCAGGAGGTTGAAATACAGTTGCCGGAGGAAAATGAGGAGGTTAAATGAGACAGGGTCTTTTTTTTTTTTGGTTTTTCTCCGGTACCAGGAACCGAACTCACGACCTTGCGCTTGCCAGGCAAGCGCTTTTGCCGCTGAGCTAAATCCCCAGCCCCGAGGAGGTTAAATGAAGACAGTGTATCCTAGGTGAATCCTAGGAGGGGTGTGGAGGGTCTAAAAAAAAAGGATCTGTGAAAGATGGTGGCGGGGAGTTTGTGGAAAACTAAGTTACTTTACAGCACTTCCTCCTGTGGTGTTGTGTATAAGTTTGAACTAGCAATTAAGAAGCAATCTAAGAAATACCGGATCACAGAAGTCCTCATACTATTCTAGCCACTGGAAGCAATGTGAGGAAGAGATCTTTCATTTAGTCACACTTCTGGGCTGCCTGATCATCTCTACTCAGTCCCTTCCCACGGTCCCTTTCCACAGACCTCCACATCCTCATCTCATTCTTTCTACAAACCGTGTCATGACAGGGCCTAACCAAGCTCTGGGAAGGCTGGAAGAATCTGCCTCAAGAAGAATGGAATCAGAGCAGAACCACAGTCTATCAATCTCTGTCCTATGGCCTGGGCTGTTTCTCTGTCTTGGAAGCATAAAGCCCTGCAGTCCCTGGGCACCGAGTGGGCAGGGTGAGCTGACTCCCCTCAGGGCTGGGATGCAGACGTGAGGAATCCTCGAGGCCGGCTTGTGTCTGGAAACCCTGTCCCCCGAAGTTATCCCCGACCTCTTGGCCCACGGTCTACAAGAAGCAGGTACATGGCCCCTTGGCCCCCGTCCCCTGCCCACTGTGCCCGTGTCCCTGGGAGAGAACAGACGGGCTGGATGGGAAGGAGAAGGAGGTGAGCTTGATTCTCTAGCTGCTAAGAAGGACTTGGGGCTGTGGCAAGAGAACCCACAGCCATTCTCAAAGTCTGGTCCCCGGAGCAGAAAGGCCCAGGCACTGCTCCCTGAGCCAGGCCCTCCAGCAATCGCTGCTCTGCCCTTACCTGGAGTGGTCCTGCTCTGAACCACCGTGTTGCTCAGCACCAGCAGTGCCGTGGTCAGAGCTGCTATCCAGGGGGCCTCAGGGATATGTAGAGCCATCGTGGAGTGGGAAATGCTGGTGAGACAGAGAAAGAAGTTGTCAGGGAATGAAGGACTCACTAAGTGGAGCTCCTGGGTGAAATATCAGAGACCACAAGGCAAAGTTGTCTCCCACGACCCTGTGATTGGACAGACTCTGAGCAAAGAACCAATGGGCACAAAGCTTTCTGTGAGTCATCACTCACTGGGCAGATCATTAGTATGAAAGGTCTGGAAACTCAGTGTATATCGCACTGAAGGTGATGGAGGGAGGAGAGCATTATCACCTTAACTATCTTTGTGAGTTGTGAAGTTTTGGAAGATCAGTGTTTTCTTTGACCTAATAGCGATCTCTAACAATCTGTTGTGCTGGAGCCACTGCTGCTGAGTCTGGAATGCAAAACTAAGTGCCCTGATGCCCGCTCCACATGTGCTCCCGGTTCCTTTTGGTTCTAAGCCCAGAAGGCCAGTCTCAAGGACCATCTGACTGCGAACCTCCTTAAGGAAGAACAGCTCCCCCAGGATCCCAGTTGTCAGGGTTGGTGCTGTTGGCATGGCTGGAGCCAGCAGTATCTTAATGAGGGACTTGGCAGGTGAACTTGCTCTTGTTGAGGTCATGGAGGATAAATTGAAGGGAGAGATGATGGATCTCCAGCCCGGCAGCCTTTTCCTTGGAACACCAAGACCTGCCTCTGGCAAAGACTATAATGGAATCACACACTCCATGCTGGTCATTATCACAGCTGGGTCACAGCAGCAAAAGGGAGAAAGCCATCTTGATTTGGTCAGCATAATGTGAACATCTTTAAGTTCATTCCTAATGTTGAAAAGCACAGCCCAAACTGCAAGTTGCTTGTTTCTAATCCAGCAGATCTCTTGACCTATATGGCTTGGAAGGGGGCTGGGGATTTAGCTCAGCGGCAAAGCGCCTGCCTGGCAAGCGCAAGGTCGTGAGTTCGGTTCCCGGTACCGGAGAAAAACCAAAAAAAACAAACAAAAAAACCAAACAAACAAATATATGGCTTGGAAGATAAGTGGGTGTTATTGGAAGTGCTTGCAATCTGGATTCAGCCCGGTTCCGTTACCTGACGGGGGAAAGGCTGGGAGTTCACCCACCAAGCTGCCATGGATAGATCCTTGGGGCCCAGGGAGATGCTACTATACCTATATGAAGTGGAGTGAATGTTGCTGGTCTCTCCCTGAAGAATCTGCCCTGAGTTAGGCACTGATGGTGACAAGGAGCATTGGAAGGAGATTGACGAACAGGTGGTTGTTGGTGTTTTCCAAGTGATCAAACTAAAAGGTTCCTGGGCCATTAGATTGTCTGTGGTAGATTTGGCAGAAAGTATAATCAAGAATCTTAAGGGTGCATCCAATCTGTACCATGACTAAGAGACCTATGGAATAAAGGATGGTGTCTTCCTTAGTGTTCCTTGTGTCTTGGAACAAAATGGAATCTCAGATATTGTGACTTCTGAAGAAGAACCCTGTTTAAAGAGTGCAGATCCCCTGTGGGAGCTGCAGTTTTAGTCTGCTAGTGTCACCATGTCACTGTCTGGGCTACAGGAGGGTTCTCTTGGAGGTAGTGCATATTGTCCTTTCTATCTGATCTGTGGTTAAAGCAGCAGTATTAAAATGGCCTAAGAAAAATATCAGTTTCCCAAGTTAGAAATAGGAGTGGTTCACAAATCCCCACAGATCTATCCTGATGCCCAATGGTACTTAACTTGTATTGCCCTAACATATGTCCAGCATAAAGCAGCCCACTGACACCACTGCTAGTGTCACACAGGCTCTAGGTACCCTTCAAACCAGATGCACATTACTCTGTTGTATAACTTCACCAACCAAACCTAGATTGACTTTTTTCCCAGTTGGTGGCAGCTGGGTATCCATTGTACAAATCCAATATTGCATGTCCTGTGCGTACTGTTTTAAAGGATTTTACTTTTTATGTAAAATCCAGTAGTGTACATTGCCGTATAATGTAAAAACAAAGATCTACCTGTGAACAATGCAGCCAACGAAGTGTCATACCAACTAAAACACCAAATAAAGCTTGAACAGTGAAAAAATAATTCCATTGACCGGTCTATGGGAACTATCATTCCCCCAGCCTTGCAGTTTCTGCACACCCACAGTACGTCGATAGGGCAGGGCCATCTAGTTGTATAAAAGGCCAGGGAATGGTATGATTTATACACACATGGAGTGCCAATCCTAGGCACCCCCAAATTTATCTGCCTTGCCTCTGCTCAAAGGGGATCTGAGAACTGTTACATCTGTATTTTTTTCTCCCAGAGCTCTGTACAACCCGAGAGGCCCAGGAGCCCCAAGTGCCTTCATGGGGCTTCAGCAGTGTCAAGCACGCTCAGTCTAGGGAACTTCCACATGTGAGTGTGTTCACGGCTGTACTACCAAGTTCGGAGGCCACTTGAAGGCCATTGCACTGTTTTGATCTTCAGTTTGTGTCCTTTCTGTGGGACTGGTATAACTTGTTTGTGCAGCAGTGTTTTAATTTCAAATGAGATAAATATATCTGAAATTGCTTTGGAATAGTAAAGTCTACAGAATATAAATAGACTAGTAATGAAATGAAGAACAAAATCAAAGTTTGTCTCCTCAAAAACATCTGATTTTGTTGTGTTCATCACAAATATTTTCACAGAATATTACTCCCCATTTTAAAACTGATAAGTGTGATTCTGTTGGATCACAAATTCCAATAAAGAAAATGTCAAACTGACATTGTTTATTTATACTGGCATATAAAATTCAAGAGAAGACAATAATTATGTAATATAAGGTATCTACTAAGAATGAGTCAGTATACAACTATAAAATAAAAGGTGAGGTTTGTGAATAAAAGTGCTTAAATCAAACTACTCCTTGTCATTTATCCACTATAGATGAATAGTCCAATACTTAGCTTCTCAATGTCTGTGTAATTTATTTTCAGAATGGACATTAATAAGATGGTCTTGAAGTGATGATTTGATCAGATAATACTTGTAAAGCATTAAAAGTAGCACCTCTGTGTACTAAAATGTTAATACGTAATTATTGCTCATGCAAAGGAAGGCTGCCACAAGACAGGAAAAATACTTTTGTTATTACATTAAGTGTTAAGTGCTTTATAATCTTACATATGAATACCCAAGAAATACTTCAAAATAAAAATATCTCAAATGAAAAGGAAAAGTAATTTCTTAAATATGATCAATAAAATATAAAATAAGAAAATGAATACTACTTGTAATAGGAAAGCATTAGAAAAATCCCTAATAAAACAAAATCAGCCCATAGTTCCAGCTGCCCAGGAGGCTGAGGCAGGAGGATCACTTGAGCCCAGGAGCTCACAACTGGAGAGAATAGTAATCTTGTCGCAAGCAACAATAACAACACAAAGATTAAAATAAAAGTGCCCATTGTTATCATGTACAATACTCTATTAGTTATTCTTATATGAAAAGGAAATAAAATAACTAGTAATTTAAAGAGAAAAAATGTTACTTCAGATAGCTTACGTATGAGGGGGAAGAAACCTAGATAGTAAGAACTGTGACAATCTTATAAAGGTAAGCAGGAATGGAAAAGTTTTGAGGATCAACTTCATTCAAGTTAATTAAAATTTCTGAATAAAAACTATAAAACCTTCTATGTAAAAGGACAAATGGAGGATATGGCAGATAGGCGGGCCTAAAAGAAAGATTAATTTCATAAGGTAGTGTATTTATCCCTAAAAACACAGCAGGATATTTTTATAAACTTGGTGAAATAACTTTATATTGTTTAGAAAAATTGTGGACAAAACATCAAGGATAATTTGAATGCTTTTGATGAGGATTAGGCGTGGGGATTCAAGAAGACATATAATAGCACGATATAGAGCATTTGCCGTCAGAAGCATGTACAATTTAAGTCTCTCTCTCTCAAACTCTGAAAACAAACTATGAGCTGGAGTTACTTGGGTCCTGCTGTTACCTGAAAATCCTCCTCTCTGTTCCAGCTCTCTTCAGTCTTCTGTTTACCCAGCAACAGATAGCGTCAGCTCTATTGCCTCTCTGATTGGTTAAGGTTAACCATGCTGATTCCTCCCCACCCTCTTTGGCTATTTTCAGGTTGTAGAAGCCCTTAGTTTCAGAGCCCTTCTCTGTCCCTCCCTGCCTCTGGACCTCTTCACTGTTCCCCTCGCCGTGTGCCCTAAGGAGGAATGTTCCAGAGCAGAGCTGTGATCCTGAGCACCCTCTCCCTGGCTTTCCTGCTGAGTCTCCCAGGGGCTGCGGCCATCAAGGGTGAGTGCTGAGGACGGTGGGAGAGTCTGGGTGAGAGGCGGGAGCAGGAAACCAGCTCACTGCTTAGCAGATTTTAGGGAATGTAGTGTTTTCCTCCAAGTCCTTTTTCTGTGTTTCCTCATGTGACGTTCGTCTTTGTCCCCCTTACACTAATTGCCATCATAGAAAGAAGAGCCAAAATTTTCTAGGCATCCATTTCATTCTGTCCACATTTACATCTCACAAGAACATTCAGTGAAGATATTATTCCCTCCACTTTAGAGATTAAAACAGTAGCACTCAAAAAAGATCAGTACTTAGCCAAATTCATACTACAAGTCCATAAGCCAGGGTTCAAATCTAGATTTGATTCTGAAGCTCATACTCTGCCTTCCCAGACTTCTCTACACAAGGACTTTTAATGGAACCCTGCTGAGACCTCACACCTCCATCTCTCCTGGATCCTCAGCCTCTGCTTTGTGTGGCTGCTTTTGAGGGGCCTGGAGGTGTGGGTTCTGTGTGTCAGAATCTATGGGAGAGATTTCTAAGAGAGCTCCTGTATTTGTCCCTCTCTCCCAAGTTCCTAGATCTCTCCTAGGATCTTTGCAGCTGGTCTCAAGACAGCAGCTTTTCATGTTTTGTTAACCTTGTAATTTGGGTCTTGAGAGACACAAGAGACAGTTATTGCAATGAGTGTTCTAGACTTTGGGGAACCACACACTCAGCCAGGGATTGTAAATCATGATAATGCTCCTTCTCCCTGCTGCTGACACTGGAACATCAAACTGTACGTGATGTTGTCATCCAAAAAAAAAAAAAAATACTAACATGAAGATTAGAATTCGTGATATAAAAGATGCATGCTGGCCCTCAGACTGTTTAATTTAAAGTGGGGAGTCCAGGCATAGGTAGAAGTGAAGAGGAGGGTGGATGACAGAGAAACAGAGGTTCCTCATGCCTTGTTAAAGGCCCTTGGGTTATTTGCAGTGCTGTGTTATAACACATTCCACAGTGAATCTTCATACAGGTGTGGAGATGTTTTGGGATTCGTGATACACATTACTGATTTTTTTTTTTTATTTTAAGGATAAAAGGAGGGAAACATTAACAGACATACAACATTTTACAACATATCACAAGCACAATACAGACAATACAGAGTTACAAACAAAGTGGTAGGGAATTAACAATGGTGGTTGTATTACATATTGATATCTTCAAAGTGGCTTCTCATGAAAACAGATATAGACATGCAATACTGGTCAACCAAAGAATCATTGACAGTTTCTTTCAGCATAGAAACAGCAGATAGAACAACCATGTTATCTATCCTGTATATACATACATACAAAATTTCTCCTTCTTTCCCTTCTCTTTTCCCACATCCCAGAAGCCCTTTACTCTTTGGTGGTTTCCTATCATTTCACAGTGTCTATCATACCTCCGAGTTTAAATTAACTCTTTCAAGTTTTACACTAGTGACACAATGCGGTGCTTGCACATGTATGTTTGAGTTCATGAATAAAAACCAAATTGCACGTGAAACACTTGAAAGAATCAACAACTGGGATCTCATCCTACTGAAAAGTTTCTGCACATCTAAAGAAATCACATTACTGATTAACTCAGCTCTGTCTTTATTGCTCTCCTCCTTCCCTCCCTGACAACATATAAACACCTTTGTTACATTAAAAGCAAACATGAACCCACCATGAAAAACCTTTCCTATGCTTTGCAACCTGCGCTGAGGATACTGTTTCCTTTTGCTCAGCTTCAGAACTAAGCTTCTGACTTCTGTCTCCCTTGTGTCGTGAGGACGCTCCCTCTTGGCCATCAGTAATGCCATGAGATTAAAACTGGTGGGTGCTCTTCCAGGTCTCTCTGACCTGAGTTATCGATAATGTTTCACTGCAGTTCACTTCTTGCTTTCTTATTGGGACAATATTTACAGCTTTTATAACCTATTCCATCCTTATTTTTCATGTATCTCTGGGTCCTCAATTCTCCTTTGAAAATGCTTCATTTGTTTGTTTGTTTGTCTGTTTGTTTTTTATCACAAGGGCCTGCTATATAGTTCAGGCTTCCTCTGAACTAACTATATAACCCAGGCTGGCCTCGAACTTGCAGCAATCTTCCTGCCTCAGCCTCCTGACTGCTGGGATTACAGGGATGTGCCACCACCCCTGGCTGAAAGTGCTTCTTAGTTCTCTAAAAAATCTTCTTCTTGGAGAGCTTGTCTCTCTTTGTTTTACACTCCTTCCTGCAAATGATTCCTCTGAACTGAGGATGGATTCCTGTGATAGGTCATTCTTGCTGTTACTGTGTCCAAGCACAGATGAGGTCCATATATGTTGGGCTGCAAACCCACAGGGAAATCCAGGACTTAGGAGGTGAGGCCATGTAAGCCCTGATGTCCCCTTTCTTTCTTACCTGTCACTCTAAGGCCAGAAACTCTCATGCAGTCATTGTTTTATTTAAAGATGGTAATTTATTGTATTCTCTTAGCTTTGTTATTTACCATACAGTTCTAAACAAAAATTATGCCTCTCAAGCCTTCCAAACTCACCAATACTTACACTTCTACTTAAAATAAAAATTAAAAGAGAAAGTTTGAAATGAATGCTAAGTTATCTGTACTGTGTTTTTGGATATTGTGTGCTGAAAAAGAAAAATATGAAAAAAGTTATGCATACTGCAGGTTCACATTTAGAAATAAAATAGAAACTTATAAGAGTGTAAAGAATAAAACAAAAATAATAAAATTAAATTTTAAATTAATATTAAAATTAAATTGAATAATAAAATTAAAAAGAATAAAAAATAATAATATAATTTGAAGAATTTTTTGTGGTACTGGGGATTGAACACACTGAGCTACATTCCCAGCCATTTTTATTTATTTATTTTTGAGACAAAGTCTTGATCCATAGCTAAGTTGCCCAGACTGGGCTTGAATTTTCAATCTTCCTGCCTCAGCTTCCCAGAGTGGTGGGATTACTGGCATGCAGCACCATGCTCGGCTTCTGAAGAAACTTTCCTTCTCTCTCAGTCTTTCCTTTTTCTTCCTTTTCTGTAATGAGAACAATAATATTCCTTCTCCACTCTCAAGATTCTAAAAACAAGTTTACATCTGTGGCATTAGAAGAATTGAGAACTTCTGAAGAGAGACAGAGAGAAAAAAACTCTCTACTGTTGCACAGAACTCTGTGACCTTAAGCAAGTTACTTTACCTCTCCGCATGTCCACATTTGAAAAATAGAACATCAGGTATTTGCTTCAAAGGGTTATAGAGACAATTACATAAGTAAAATATATAAGGTGTTTAGAATGGTGCCCAGAACATAATATGTGCTTAACAAGTGATCATAGTCACTGTTATTATTTATAGCTCCATAGAGTTGGAAAATTCATATTCTGAGTGCCCAAGAAGCAGCTGGACTGCTCACTGCTCCTCTTCTCCTTTGGTTCCTCCCCCATTTCTTTTGAGAGCTGCTCTGATCTCCTCAGCATTCTCTCTTTTTTGGGGTTATTTCATATTTCCATTCTTTGATCTCTTTCTTTCTGCCTTTTACATTAATAAATCTTTCTTCATTCTCATGCCTACACTACATACATATTTTTTTTTATATTTCATCACATTTTTCTCTACTTTCTTTATGCAGCAGACCATGAGTTATCTAATGCTGCGTTTGTCCAGACGCATAGCCCGTCAGGGGAGTATATGTTTGAGTTTGATGAGGATGAGATGTTCTACGTGGACCTGGAGAAGAAGCAGACAGTTTGGCATCTGCCAGAGTTTGGTCAAGCCTTCACCTTTGATGCTCAGGGCGGGCTTGCCAACATTGCCATACTGAAGAACAACTTGAATGCAGTGATCCATCATTCGAACCGCACCCAGGCCCCCAACGGTAATGCCCACCTTTGCTTCTTCCTGTCCAGCACCCAGCTGGGAAGGGATGGGAGGGCTCCTCCTCCACACAGAATGGGAGACTTATATACTCACTGCCGAGTGACCACGAGCTCACTCAAGTGCAGCGGAAGGCCTGCATTGTCCCTGTCACTCAAGAGAAAGGGTGACCCAAGTGAGGCTTTTCAGTGGAGTGAGACTCTTGGCTCTGAGCCTGAGGTAGAGGACACCCCAAGATGAAGCCCCTGTGATTCGTCCCAGATCACGGGGCACTCACCAGGTTTTGTCCTCCCCCAGATCCCCCTGAGGTGACCGTGTTTCCCAAGCAGCCCGTGGAGCTGGGCGAGCCCAACATCCTCATCTGCCATGTGGACAAGTTCTTCCCACCCGTGCTCAATGTCACATGGCTGCGGAATGGGCAGCCAGTCACCGAAGGTGTTTCAGAGAGCATCTTCCTGCCACGCACAGATTACAGTTTCCACAAGTTCCTCTACCTGACCTTCCTTCCCAACACCGAGGACGTCTATGACTGCAAGGTGGAGCACTGGGGCCTGGACGAGCCGTATCTCAAGCACTGGGGTATGGAGCCTCATTTCCCCTTTATGACCTCTATTCCCAGCACTGAAGGCCTCAGTCTCCCCCTCCCCTTACCCTAATGTGCCATCAGCTGGCCTATGACCTTCAACCTCCATGCACACCCAGGCCAGCCCCATCCCCAGCACACATCCTGACCCCAAATCTTCATCTCTCCCCAGAGCCCCAGGAGCCCATCCAGGTGACAGAGACGACGGAGACTGTGGTCTGTGCCCTGGGCCTGCTGGTGGGCCTGGTGGGCATCATCGTGGGCACCGTGCTCATCATCAGGGCTCTGCGTTCCAGTCGCGACCCCCGCGCCCAGGGACCCCTGTGAGTTACTATGGAGCTGGGGATCTTAGGATACAGAGGAAAAGAAGGGGGAATCTGGTGTTTGTTGTATCCAAAGAAAGGAGGAAAAACTCTATTTGAGAAGAGGAAAAACTCTATATGATCTCTTACCTGATTAACAGCACAGAGCTGCATAACCATAACAACACTGATCATTTATGAGTACTTAATATGTTTAAGCACTGTTCTCAGCATTTATATTACCTCATTTTATACTCACAAGTAATCTGTATGAGGTAAGTCCTGCTACTGTCATCATTTAACACATGAGAAATGATTATATCTTCGTATATACACAGCCACATTCAGGAACTAGATCAAGGTCACACACTAGGAAGTGGTGCAGCTAGCATTAGAATCCAGGAAGTTTAGATCTGAAGCTGTTGGCTTAGTCATTGCCCTGCACTACTTATTTTATAAAGAAAATGCAAAGTATGAACTCTCTAAGAGCCAGATCAGTGTCTACACACAATCACAACATGGTGTGACAGGAGCCTAATATCCAGTTTGCTCTCTCTTCATGGGTCACTGAATGGCAAAGCTCATACTGCATATTTATATTTTTATATAATTCTTTTCCTATTATATAGTGATCTTTCTATGATGATCATCTTGTTTTATGCATTATCATCATCATTATTATTCAAGCTGGACCCCAGGTGCAAAGTGCTAAGTCAGTCATATTACTCAGTGGATGATTCTGTCACGATGGGCACCTCCAAATTCTGACTCTTAATTTGTTTATTCTACCTTCAGTCCTTTGTGCATATCTGAGCTCCATCCTCTCCTATAGATTAATGTTCAAATGGATTTGATGTGTTTCTCTTTATTTGTATATACCCTGTATAATATGTAGTATTATTCAAAGTACTTGCTTTTGTAATTGACCAAAATTATATTGACCAAAATATATCATAGATCTAAATGTGTGCACATAGTCTTTGCTTTCAGCTGTTCCATAGTATTTTATTTCAGGGCCCCACCTGTCTGTATTCCATCTGAAAAATCTGCATTACTTTTGATTCTGTGTGATGCAAGCAAATGTTTGCATTTTCATGGGGACCTGCATTCCAGGCATGTATGTGCCCCTAAAAGCCTTGCAGGGTGACCTAAGGCAGGCATACATGGTTCATGTACTACCAAATGAAAAATGATAAAGAAAAAGAAGACATAATGTAGGCAAAAGAATGAGGAGAATGTTACCACACAAGCCAAGAAGATAATGAATTTACAGAAGGAAGAAGTATTGTGCAGTTCCAGATGTTCCACCAAGGCCTTAGGGGAAAATATACATTGGTTTTGAAACTCTTTCACAGAGGAGCTTTACACAGTGTGAACAGTGATTCTGCCTTCACAGCCATCATTTCAGAGTTGAGCTCTGACCTCAGCAATGTGGCTTTGCTTTTTTTGAGGATGTTTTGGAGACTCGAAGCATGTGGGATGTCCCTAAAGTCAGCTGGGGTTTGAGGTGGAGTTTGATGTCAGGATACTCCTTGACTCCTGACTGCTACTCGCCTGAAGGACCAGGGCATGTGCAGGGAAATCCACCTTTTCCCTGGGACCTAAGGAGGGCAGGGAAATGTGGGAATTGGTTATAAAGCAGATAGGGAAGGTGTGTCTGAGCTTGGAGACCTGAACCCAGGATGCCATTTGTAACTGTGTGTCTTGCTGCAGGTGAAAAAATTTCTGAAAGAAGATTAAGGAGAAATTTGAATCCCAGGTGCCCTACAAACTCTACCCTCAGCTTCATTCTCAATTCCTGTGCTCTGTACTCTGCTGATCAACTTCCTTGAAGATGCTTCAAGTCTGAGGCTGTGGACTTGCCTGATCCCATCTGAGGACCCTTCAAGTCCGTATTTGTGACCTTAGAGCCCTTAGCCCTTAGTAATGTTCCCAATACATACAAGGCAATGGATCACTGTTAATGCTGGCGTGGAGATCATCGCTTCGCTGGAGTTCGTAGCCTCGGGTTTCCTCAGCAGAGCCCTTTACTGCCCCCTTTCTGAGAATACTGAGACCAATAAACTCTTCAGTATTTCAGAGCCAACAAAGTCTGAGTTCTCCTTGCTAAAAATCTAGGACTGGGTCATATAGGACCAATATTTTATGAAGGTGTGTTTTGGGTTGGTTTATGGATGTAGGTACTGTAAGCTGTCATTTCCTGAGGGTATAAGGGTCTGTGAATTTTAATTTATCCCTGAGTTATTCACAAAGTACAAGACAGGGTTTTGTGAAGAGAGGATTTTGGGAGAAATTTCACTTCAATTAAGCTTTGATTTGATGTAGTTTGAACAGTGCAGTAATTGAATCTCTAAGTGAAGAGATTTGGACTGTCTGAGCTAAGATGTGAGGCTGACCTGGATCCCATCCATAACCCTTGAGCTTTCTTCCATGTCTAGATTGTAACCGTGGAATACATTTTTCAAATGAGAAACTATGAGCTAACAAAGAAAGTAAGAAAGTTCTCTTACTCATTCCAGTTCACACCTGCTTTGTCTATATCACTCTGTGGGAGGACCTAAATTGTAATTATCAGGGCTTATAGTCAAAGATTTGAGAAAAGCAATGCTGAAAATGGAATAAAAATGTCTTATTTAAGCAAAGGTTTATTTCTCTAGAGAATGTTTTCTACATGTTAATATGAAAGCATAAGCTAGTAAAAATGCAGACAAATATAAAAGGGTTTTCTATTTTTGTTTTTTAAAAATTTTAAGGAATTAAGAAAAGTAACAATTATAACAACTTTTTTCATGTTCATAACATAATTAAGGTAAAATGTATGAAAACAACAGCACTACAAGTAAGTGGGGAAATGTAAATGTAGTGTAAAATTCTTGCATATTATTATTTGAAGGTAGAATTATTAATTTAAAGATGAATTTTTTTTTTTTTTTTTTGGTTTTTCTCCGGTACCGGGAACCGAACTCATGACCTTGCGCTTGCCAGGCAGGCGCTTTTGCCGGTGAGCTAAATCCCCAGCCCCTAAAGATGAATATTTTAAACACCACAGAAACTACTAAAAAGATGTTTAGCTCATAAGCCAATGAAGAAGATAAAATGTAATAGCAAGCACAGTTAATTCAAAATAAACAAGTGAAAGACAAAGTGAAAACAAATTATAAGATGATAGAGTTAAACACAATGATAGCAACAATTGAATTAATTGTCTTATCAGCTAAGCACTCTAATTAAAAGTCAAAGGTTGTCAAAATGCACACAGAAAAAGTAAAATACATAATACCTGTCTACATAATCCTTAGATTTAAAATGAACACAAAGATAGGTAAAAAGTTTTTTTAAAGGGAAAATAATGCTAATGGTAGGAATGTTGGTAGCTATGTTAGTGTTAGAAGTATAGAATTTCAGAATAAGAAATCTCAACATCAATAAAGGTGGACAGTTCATGAATATAAAAAGATAAATCCATCGAGAATATTATAATCCTAACTTGTGTATGCACCTGATAAAAAAAAGCTTCAAAGCACATGATACATAAAATAAAAGCAGAAAGAAATCTAGTTATATTTTAACATTTCAGCACAACTGTCTTAGTAAACAGAACAACTAAACAACAAAAAATCAGTGCATGGAGTATTTAAATACTTTTATCAACCAACCAATATTACCTAATTGACATTATCTATTCTGCTATTACACATAATAACAACAAAACATACTTTATTTTCAAACGGGCATAAAACATCCAGATGATAGGCCCTACTCTAGGTCATAAAAAAAACCTCAGGAAACTTAGAAGAGTTGAAACTGTACAGAATATATTTTCTGATCACTACAGAATTAAATTAGAAACCAATAACAGAAAAACATCTGGAAAATCCCAAGAATGTAGAAATTGAAAAGTAAACGTCTAATTAGCACTGGCGCTATAGAAAAGTCAGGAAGAAAATTTGAAAATATTTTGAATTGGATGAATGTGAAAATGTACTATATCAAAATCTTTGTGATATATAATTGGAGGGTAATTTATAGTTTTACAAATTTAGGAAAGAGGAAAGCTCTAAAAATCAATGATCTATGGCTCATTCTCTCTCTCTCTCTCTCTCTCTCTCTTTTTTTTTTTTCTTTTTGAAACAGGATCACTATGCAGTTCTGGCTGGCCTTGAACTCACTTTGTAGCCCAGGCAGGTCCTGAACTTGCAATGATCCTCCTGCCTCAGCCTTCCAAGTGCTGGGATTACAGGAGTGTGCCACCACGCCTGGCATATCTAGATCTAAAATGTACCAATAAACTTTTTTTTTTGGTCTTTTTGAGACAGGGTCTTGCTCTGCAGTTCAGGCTGGCCTTGAGCTCACTCTGTAGCCCAGGCTGGTTTCAAACTCACGACAATCCTCCTGCCTCAGCCTCTGGAGTGCTGTGATTATCCGGTGTGTGCCACCACGCCTGGCTCCTATGGCTCACTCTTGAGAATCTAGAAGATGACTGACCCAGAAAGGAATTACATCGGAGATACTCAAGGACGATCAACTAAAAAGTAACTGGTGAAGGGACTTACATCCTGGGCTAAAAAATTAATTTGAAAGAAGATATATGTAGGGGCTGGGGATTTAGCTCAGCGGCAAAAGCGCCTGCCTGGCAAGCACAAGGTCGTGAGTTCGGTTCCCGGTACCGGAGAAAAACCAAA